CCAAACCCACCCTACTGGGGTTAAGGGCTTAGGGGAGACCCTGACCCCAAAGCCTGAAGGATAGGTAAACTTGTCTGTTCCCTTTGAGTTTCTATTATTGTGTAGTTTGCCTGGTCTCCTGATAATCCCCTATACTCTCCACGATATAGCCTATTTCTAACCCCAACCTGTGCAACCCCAAACCTTGAAAAGCCTTAAACCCTAAGCCCTAAGCCCTTAACCTTAAACCCTAAACTCTAAGTAGTAGGTTCCATTTTATTTTCCATTATCCCAATATAATCCCAATATTACCCTAATATTGCCCGAATGGGTTGAGGTGTTGGCAGCAGAGCTGGAGCATCGCCTGCCTTTGGACTGGCCCAACCAGCATGGCACAGTAGCAGCTTTGGCACAGCAGCTGCCTGGCTTGGAGCTTTACAGTTAGGGTTGAGGGATACGCTTAGGATGTAGGGGTTAGGGTACTCTTAGGATGTAGGGTTGGGTTTAAGCGGTACGCTTAGGATTTAGGGCCGGGTTTAGGGGCACTCTTAGGATTCAGGGTCTCGGGTTTAGGGCTACCCTTAGGATTCAGGGTTTAGGGCATTGGGTTGCCCGCAGAGGATTTCGGAGTTCCAGGTACCCCTAGGATTTAGGGTTTACAGTCACCCTCAGGATGTAGAGTTTGGGGTTGCCCGGGTATTTAGGCCCTAAAACTCTATTATTTGGATCCGCTTAGGGATTAGGTTTCTGGTTTAGGGTAGGTTTTGCGGCTTCGGGTGGTGGGGGATTATGAAGAGTAGTCTAGACCCATGATTAATAAACCCCCTCCCCTGAATAGGGATTTTATAGGGCTCCTAATATTCAGGCCCGTGAAAGGAGCCTGTTTTTTTAAAAGACATGGGTCTGCATTATGACTCCTGGAATGATAGCTATATATATATATGTTATTTGCCTATTCTTGGCTCCCTACTTGCAGGGAAACCCCTCAACTGCAGTCAAGGGAAATCGTAGGTGGGCTTCGAGGAAGGCACCGGTCAGAGTTAGAGCTCTCGGTTCAAGAGCCCAAGGCTTAACAACTTAGCAGACACCTCCTGTATTTGGATGGTTTCCAGAATTAGGGGTTGACATTTGTATTCCAAAATGGGAACTGCCGTGCTATAGCTGGTAATCCAAGAGGGCCCAGAGTTTTCACAAAGTATCACATTGCTCTAGGCTTTGCCCATATTAAAAGTACCAAGAACAAGCGTGTTCAGTTGCGAGCTGCTGGAACGCTACGAGTGTGTGGCGGGGGGTTTTGTCACCCTGTCCTCCTGCACGCTCTGTTTGCCGGGCTTGTTGTGTAGGTTGAATTTTGGTTCACCCTAGTCGAGTTAAGCGCCCAAGCCAAGCACCTCAACCCATTGGGGTAATATTAGAGTTATATTGGGTTAACGGAAATTAAAATGGAAACTGCTACTTAGGGTTTAGGGTTTAGGGCTCAGGTTTCCGGGTTTAAGTGTTCCATAGACCTGGTCTTGGTAAGTTTTGTCTAGGATCAGAAGGGGCAAGCTCTGGTCCTTCCAGAGGTCTCTCCTCAAAGACCCCCTGAACCATGCTCAAAGCCATTCTTCTACATGAGGTGGACCCCCCCCCACCCTGTAATAGTTCCTATTATACCACTATTACAGGGTGCGGGGTCCTCCTACATTCTACATTCTTTGAGGGTCCAGAAAAGCCTCGAAAGCACAAACTTTACACTCGCCCTTCCAGCCTTCCAGCGAACCTTTTTTTGACCCAAGGCTCGGCTCCCACATCATGGAGGTCAAGAAGGAATCTGCAGGGCTTTGGGCTTAGGGTTTAGGGTATAGGGTTTAGGGTATAGTGTTTAGGGTTTAGGGTGGGCTGCTTCACCCCTACTATGACATACCCCTCTTCGGAAAGGGGATGCTGAAACGTCAGGGAACATGAATTACACTGAGAGGCTGGGGATCCTTACTTGGGATGCGCAGGCATGATTGTGAGAGATGCAACTTTGCTATGGTCGCACGCGGGAGGGCCTCCAGATTTCTTTGGAGGGTGTCCCTGTCAAACGCTTCGCAAGAAAGCTTTCAGACAAGGTTGAGGATCCCTACTTAGTATGGTTTCTTCGAGCAACTAGGAAGTAGCAAGACACTACGAAAACGACATCAGTCCCCAAACCGCCAGCAAAGGCTATCCATGAATCCAAACCAGCGCTAGGGGCTGTACCTGACAGGAAGAGCCTGGCCGGAACAAGTCAAAGAAGCCAGCAGCTGCTCCCAAGGACGTCAGCCCAAAACCATGAGAAAGCTGGAAGTGCTTGAGGGGTGTTGGGCTGCTGCACGCATGTTGTATGGTTGTGTGCAAAGACTCTGTGGATGATAGCGTCATAGTCAGGTACCCTTTGGCAGAGCTATCCAAAATGTAGTTGTTTCCGGACCTGTGCTTTGATACCTGAAATCTTTGCACCTCGTGAGGGGGGAGATGCAGGAAAGAATTGAACCAACCCTGAATCCCTGAATGTCCCCATCGCCTGAAGCCACCTTGTGGTGATCATCACCATGAGGCTCAGGCACAACGGGGTGTGAGAAGATGGCGAGGATGTCCTAAGACTACGGCTTTTGGCATCATGTACTTTGCGGTGACGTCCGTACTTTCATCCCCACTTTCTGGGATGAACATGTGGATTGATTTGGTCAGTCTTCCTAATATGCGGCCCTCCTCAAAACCACGAAGTGCAATGAAAACCAACAAGCCCAGGTCCTCAAGCCACGCATGGGGGCTCTTCAACCCCCTGTCCAAACTTGAGAAAGTGGCAATTCATGGGCTAAATGGTTTGCCCGCGAAGGGCGGGCGGAAGGGCTCACGTCACGTCACCTTTAATGCAGGTTCTTAAGCCCCAAACCCTTGGACCCTAAACCCTTAAACCTGCTTAAGCCCCAAAGACCCTAAACCCTTAAACCTTCCTAAGGCCCAAACCCTAAACCCTTATGGTCCCCATAAGTAGATAGAATATAGGGTATATGGGGATCTGATTGTAATGTACCCAAAGCCATATTCTATCTACTTAAGGGGGACTATAAACCCTAAACCCTAAACAGTAGTTTCCATTTTCTTTTCCAATATCCCCACATAACCCGTATATTCTATCTACTTAAGGGGGACCATACGTCCTTAACAAATAGTAGTGTCCAATTTTCTTTTCCATCATCCCAATATAACCCCTATATAATCTACGTGAGGGGCCAAACCCTAAACCCTCAGCCGTTTCAAGACCCAAACCCTAAACCCTTAATCCTATGCCCTAAACCTACCCTAAACCCTAAACCCTTAACCCTCAGCCGTTTCAAGACTTCCCCATCCTGCAAGGATCCCGATGCAAAAGAGGGCGATCTCAAAGCAAAGAGTCAGGCGCTGCGCTTTCAGGGTTTAGGGATTTGGGGGGTTTATTGGGTTAGGATTTAGGGTTTGGGGGTTTGTGGGTTAGGATTTAGGGTAAGGGGCTTGTGGGTTAGGGTTTAGGGTTTGGGGGTTTATGGGTTAGGGTTTAGGGTTTGGGTGTTTATGGGTCAGGATTTTGGGTTTGGGGTTGGGGGTTGATATAGACGCTTGCCGAATTACCGGCATCATGCCCCTTATTCCCCTCATACAAATCTCTACTAGTAGAATTTGTTGCAAAGCCCTTTGCTGATTACATGCGCCCGTGAGATGAGTCGTGCGGGTCTGTTCATTTGATAAATTTGGAGTCCAACCACGTCGGGTTAGTATTTCAAGTCAAGCCTCGGTATTGGAGCTACACTTAGCACCATGACTAGTTCTACAAGTGTGAGCCTGGCGACAAGCAACCCTAGGGCGGGTTTACGGCTCAGGCGTTGAGAAGTTATTTGCCATTTGCTAGCCAGCAACCCGACTCTTGCACAAGCCCAGAGCTTCCCTTTCATGATGAAGTTAATAGTAGTTTCCATTTTCTTTTCCATTATCCTCATATAACCCTAATATAACCCCTATGCAACCAGGGGAGCCGGTGTTTCTGGAAATTGGGCCTGGGGAACATACCCTGAGTGATAGTAAGGTTCTGTGATTTAGGGTATTTCTTGCTGCGATAAAGCGTATACCCTAAAAGATACTAGGATCCCCAATCGCCTTGTCAAGGTTGAGCCGAACGTCTTGTCTACGTTCAACCGCGCTGCCGTGTCTGGGATGCACTAAGTGGACCCCCCACCTTGTAATAGAACCCTAAACCCCAATCCATGCGAATATAAGAGGGCCCTGATATAATCACCATTACGCCGTATAGGCACTACTACTTGGTGGGGAGTCCACCCAAGGGATGCACTACAAGAACTGTCCATGATGTGCCTTCAAACCGTCTCAAGAATGAGCGGATGCGGCATCTGTATTCGACGTCCTGCGGCGCATGCCGTGCAACAAGAAGAGTACCTGAACCCCGAACGTATCTAGAATAATTTCCCTTTGACTTTTTTTAAAGGTACCGGGCTATTATTTCACGTACTTTTGAGGTGCAGGTATAGGGTTTGAGGCCAGGGCGCATAAGGGGCTGGAAGTATGGGTTGCTTCCCAGGCCCCAAAGAATCAGTGGTAGGCTTCATTCATTCGTTCTCACGTGATAAACCCAAAGCTCTGAACTCCAGACTCTTCACCCTCGAGCCTAAACCCTAGACCCTAAACCCTACACCCTAAATCGTTAAATAGTAGTTTCCATGTTATTTTCCATTATCCCAATATACTCCCAATATATACCCTATTGTGCCCCTATATAGCCCCAATATAACACCCCAACATTACCCCATATAAC